GAGGAGAGTTAGCCTAAAATCCATTGCTCTACGCAGGAAAACCACTAAGTGATTGCAGTAGGCTTCGAGTTCAGTTTGCTTTGCTTTCCGAGATTCGCCCCCAAACGCGCCCGTTCTTAAGAAGCCCTGGACTCTTTTACTCCATTTGGCTAGGAGTAAGAGAGCAAACGCCCAACAGGTTATACCTCCCGCCGATCTTCCTACAGCGTCCCTTTCCACCTACCTCGTTGGGAAGAGAGAGGAAGGGAGGAAAGGGAGGTCGGGTGCAGCAAACCCGCGTCTGGGAAACGCTTAGACTAGAGCATTTGCGCTACTCCCGGTTTAAAGGAATGCGTGTGTGTCCAGGTTACTTTGTCAGCCGCGGAAGGAACAAGCCCTCGGTCCGTGGTTTACGCGCAGGCGAAAAGGCCGGCAAAACCTCTGGGACAGCCCCGAGCTCTTCTTTCCAAGCCGAAGGAACAGCTTGGAAGAGAAACTCAGCCAGCCGTCCAAACAACCCAAGCGGGGAAAGCGCGGAAAAGAGGCTTTATTGGCAAGCCGGAATTGACAAGAGCGCCAAACTCGCCGCTCTAAAAGGTCAGCAAAGGGAAACTCCGCGCTTATACTTTCCTCACGCGCTCTAAAGCTTCCAGCCCTAGAAACGCCACCTCGCAGGTGCCGGGAAAGTAGGGGGAGGAGGAAGAGGCCGCGCTTTCAGCGACGCCTCCTCTTGAGGTGGCCGCGCAGCCTGGCTCGCTGCCAGGCAGGGGGAACCTTCCACCGGGTTGTCTTCAGTGGTGGGATTTAGATTTTTTTTTTTACTACCGGTTCTGTGGGCGTGTCTTGGTGGCCGCGGCAGGGGAAGGAGACTGTAAAATTTCCAGTCAGAAGTGGTATTTGCCGATTCTCCAAACTACTCAAAATTTCTGCTACGGGTTCTCCAGAACTGGTCAGAACCTGCTGAATACCTCCTCTGGTTGCCTTGGCTCCCAGTTGCCGGGTGGAGGCTCGGAGATACGGGGACACTTCCGAAGAGGTGGAAGCCTGTGGAGGTTCTCAGTCATCCAGATCATGATTGTCCCCAAAGTACTTTTTCAGGAGGCAACTGGACTTTCTGGTTTTTTTTTCTTTCCCTTCTCATCCAAGAAGCTTCTTCAGCTCTGACTGGATGATGGGGGAATGGAAGGATTTATATTCCTTCCAGACAGCTGGTCATTTGCATCCTTTTAGAAGGTCGTTGAAGCCTTGGAGGTTTGGCTGTGTCCTCCCGAGTCATCTAATAGTACAAATGTTTCCTGTAGTCTGCAATTTTTATGGAAATCCGTTCATACTCCCACACCATTCCAAGGATGTTCATTCCAAAATGTATAGCTAAAATCTATGGTGGGTCTCAGTCATCCCGGGTCATGTTTGTCCCCAGGATATGGCTGTCCTCAACAACTCTCCAAAAGGATGCAAATGACCAGCTGTCTGCAAGGGATATAAATCCTTCCATTCCCCCACCATCCAGTCAGAGCTGAAGAAGCTTTTTGGATGAGAAGTGAAATGTCTTCAAAGAAAAAAAAAAACAAAGTCCAGTTGCCTCCTGAAAAAGCACCTTTGGGATTCTGAAGAGGTGGAAGGACAGAAGTGTGATGCAGGCAAAGGAGTGAGCTGGATAAATGGATCCAGGTGCCTCCTGAGGGACAAAAGCCCCATGCATAGGAAGGGCCCCCTATTATGTGGGGATGTGGGTCCCCCAAATGAGATCAATCAGGTTGAAGCCAAAGGGTAGCGGAGTAGTTATTTAACCTATTGCTTCCCCGGGCTTTCTAGACCCATAACCCTGAGAACTCTTTCTTTTCCAAAGCCTTGGAAATCTCGGAGCCACTCTGAGCCACTCTTTGTAAAGCCTTGTGATTTGGAGACATGTTTCACAAAGGCTGCAAGCCTTCAGCTGGCAAAATGATACATGAGTGATAAGAAGCATTATTATTATTTTTTGCACTACTGTCACATCGCTACTGTAGAGTCTTGAGTCTCAGCACCTTTTCCTGTATATTGATGGTGACTATGTGTCTCCAATTGTCTTTGATCTTACACTCTGCAGGATTAAAGCAGGGGTGGGGGACTTTCCTGGCTTCCACAGCCACAATTATGCACTAGTTTCAGAATGTATAACACAAGTATGTCAGTTGCAGCATGTGTGGGATTGTCATCATATATGTGTCACTTGCCCTTTTCCTGTTTCCACCCAATGCACATGCAGTCATCTTCCATTTACTACAGGAAAATTAAATCCACCATTCAGTGACTTACTCACTAATATTAATAATAGTATAGGTTCATAAAGATATTCTAAAAGCCCCAAAGTCTAGAAAGATGTGGTTGTCCTCTAAAATCTTTGCTACTGATGCTAGGTTGTATTAATTAACCAGAACTTACCTTTCTGTAAATAGGCAATAAGTAACATCTTTCAGAGCCCACCACATTCTGTTTGCAAGGCCATGAAAGGGGTGGGTCCCATCACTTTACAGTTGTGTCGTCACCTTGTCACCCTTCTCCCTGTTGCTCCATTGTACTACTATTGCCTGCGATTCCATTCTACTACTTTGCTATTTAGACTGAAATTAACCGAGAAGAGCTAGTACTGATGGCTGAACAGCAGCCTAGCCCTGTTACTTACTTAGGGTAGATTAGCTGGCTGGTGATATTGTAACTAGCTCCTAACGGAAATAACTGCAGAATGATGAAGATGGGCTTAGAAAGGTGTGCCCATCTTAGTTTGAAACAGTTAGGAAATATTATATGCCTTTGAGCCCAGCCACTCACTGATCTTCATTTTTATGTAATGAAAGCGGAAATACTTCTAACACTGATACAGCTAAGACAATTCAGCAGGATCCTATTGCTTTTGTCAGAATGAGGAAAGTAGCAATTTAGAATGCTGCAAATTCCACGCCTTTGGAGCATCCAGACAACAAACATCACAATGCACATACAAAAGGATGGGGCTTGCATAGTGATGCTGCTTTTGTCGGTTTTATTCCTCCTACCCCGTGGATCTTGATGGGAGAATTTAAGACGTCTTAAACATGAGACATGAAGGTTAAGTTATAGGGACACAGCATGATTGTATGATTAGTTACTGGTGGGAAAAGGCTTTAACGCTGCAGAAGGCCAGCTTGTAGACATATGAAATAGTGACTGAAAGCAAGAGAATCGGCTTTGCAGCCTCCAGACTTCCTACCTGGGCTCTGTTCTTTAATCCCAGGAATTGCCTTTTAAAATTTTTCTCTATATTTGCCCCTTACTCAAATTTGCTTCCTACCAATGACAGAGCAAACCTGGTAATGTTTCTTAGATAAGCACCAACTTGCATTGCCCTAAGTATTGCCACTGTCTTCTCATTAGGTGGCCAAGGTATCTGAAGCTGAAGCCCAAATACACACCTACTCTAGCTTATCACCCGTCACTTCTCAGATTGGAAAAGTCTAGCAATTAAAATACCTCAGATTAATAGTTGGAAGGAACCTTGTAGGTCATCTAGTCCAACCCCCCACCCAAGCAGGAGAACCTACACCATTTCTGACAAATGGTAGTCCAATCTCTTCTTGAAAGCCTCCAGTGATGAAGCTCCCACAACTTCTGAAGGCAATCTGTTCCATTGGTTGATTGTTCTGTCAGAAAATTTATCCTTATTTCTAGGTTGAATCTCACCTTGATCATTTTCCATCCATTATTCCTTGTCTGGCCTTCAGGTGCCTTGGAAAATGGCTTGACCCCTTCCTCTCTGTTGCAGCCCCTCAAATATTGGAAGACTGCTATCCTGTCTCCCCTGGTCCTTCTCTTCACTAGACTAGCCATGCCCAGTTCCTGTTACCGTTCTTCATGTTTTAGTCTCCAGTCCCCTAATCTTCCTGGTTGCTCCTCTGTACTTTTTCTAGTCTCAACATCTTTTTTTATAGCGTGGTGACCAAAACTGGGTGCAGTATTCTAGATGTGGTCTTACTAAGGCTTTATAGAGTGGTATTAGTACCTCACTTGATCTTGATTGTATCCCCATTAATGCAATTTAGGGTTGTATTGGCTTTTTTGGCACACTGCTGGCTCATATTTAGCTGGTTGTCCACTAAGACTCCAAGATTCCTCTCAGTTACTGCTATTGAGCCTGGTTTCACCCAGCCTATATGTGTACTTTTGGTTTTTCTTGCCTAAATGTAAGACTTTACTTTTCTGTACGTTGAATTTCATTTTGTTAGCTAGAGTCCAGTGTTCATGTCTGTCAAGATCCATCTGGATCTTGAGCCTATCATCCAGGGCAGGGTATCAAACTCAATTTCATTGAGGGCTGCACCAGGGTTGTGTTTGACCTTGCAGGGCCAGGGTGGGCGTGGCCAGCTCGACGTCATTCATGTCGGAGATGCCTATGGTGACCCGAGTGCTCTACCAGTGAGAACAGCCTCCTGAGCTCCGTTTGCAGCTGCAATGGCCTCCTGCAGCAGCCCTCTGCCAGCAAAAACGGAGCTCGGGAGGGTCTCACATAGCCCTCCCAAGCTCCGTTTTCACTGGCAGAGACACTAGGGGCCAGTCCTTTGCTGTTTCCAGCGTGGCCCCGTGGGCCAGATCTAAGCACCTCGCGGGCTGGATCCAGCTCCCGGGCCTTGAGTTTGACACCCCTAATCTAGGATATTAGCTATTCCTGCCAGCTTAGTATCATCCACAACTTCAGTCAGGAGGAATTCCTGCATTCACTATTTGATCTTCATGGCTAATGTAAACTTAGGAATAACATGGCAATAGTGACTTGATGAGGAATCCAGTGAAACTGAGTGATACCTGTGGCTGTAAGGCCTAATGGGTGACTGTGTAGCAAGAGCAACTGTGAGCATAGTGCAGGACTGCAGATCAAAGAAGGCATCTTGGATCCATCTGGTTTGCCTCTTGCCAACTGGATCAAAAAAACCTGATTTTCAGAAAGTATCAGCTGACTGTGGCTACACAAAGCGTGAATAAATGCAAACTCACATTTCAGTTCAATAAGTTTAGAAAGTATTTTATTAGAGATACATTTTAAAAGAATAAATAGCACATTTCCAGTAAAACACATAGAAGAAAGGAACTAAGGGCATGGATAATGCAAAACATGAAGAAAATTAACTCAAGAATGACTATTATAATGCTTGATTAGTTTTCCTCACTGTATTTATTGCTTTCCTAATGCTACTAAATAATACAGGTCTTTATTTTAGTTCCAAGTGCTAAAAATGAGCTATTGCAATTTGACCAACAGCATCAGATCATGATCATCTCCCACTCCCTAAATACAATTGAGTTCTTAAGTTGAATTTTCTTTTTTCTTACAGAGTGCATTTTTTGCAGAGATTTTTTATTTGGCATGTTGGATTTACTATGGCTTAACATCAGGGAAAGGCAAATCGATTGCTTCTCACAATGATTAGCTCAGCCTTAGTAGTGTCAACAACTTACAAACTATTAGAGAATCCAAGAAGGCTGGTCAGAATGAGAATAGCAGAGGAATCCAGATTGTCCTCAACTTACAATCATTCATTTAGGAACTTTTGAGATTTCTGTGGCACTGAAAAAAAGAGACTTATGACTAATGCTTGCACTTACACCCATTGCAGGATCCCCATGGTTACATGATCAAAATAGGGCCTCTTGGCAACCAGCATGTACTTATGACAATGGCAGCATCCTTGGATCACGTAATCATCGTTTGTGACTTTCCCAACTGGCTTCCAACCAGTAAAGTCAATGGGGGAAGCCAGATTTTTTTTAATGACTGCATGATTCACTTACTGATTAAGGTGACTCACTTAACAACCAAGACAAAATGGTCATTAAATTAGGCACGATTCACTTAACAATCGCAATGCTTAGTAATAGAAATTCTGATCTCAAATGTGGTTATAAGTTGAGGACTACTATAGATGCCCATAAAGATAATAGCAGCAGCAAGCTATAAATTGTTTGGCTTTCTTTAAAAAAGGCACTGTGGAATCTTAAACTGTGCAACTTTCATCAGCTTCTGATGTAATCAAATGCTGCTTTTCAACTTGACCAAATTTCTATTTGCCAAGTCAAACAAGGTGATATAAGTTGTTACATTTTTGTTCCAGAGTTTCAAATCTGATGCCATTATTATTGTTGTTGTTATTACTATTACTATTATTATTAAAGAAATTAGAGCTGGACTGGTTGGCTTTACCCTGTGGATACTTTGTTGGATCTAGCTTCTATTTTCTTTTTATTATGAATTAAAATCAGTTGGGAGCATTGCTTACACTACTTTAAAGTTTTAGAATTAAAAGAAAATGTCTGTGTATGTTTTTGTTGTGAAATTCCAGTACATATTGCAATATCAGTTTTTGGCACTAACATTTGAACTTACCCTTTTAACATTAACATATAAAATTAAACATTTTGTATTTTGTTTTATAAAACCAACTATTTTTAAAATCCTGATTATCTTCACACAGGAAAGTTAGTTAAAAAGAGGGCTGTCTAAATTACAGTGCAGTGTACTAGCAACAAATAGAATCCCAGCATTACAATGGCTGCATTTGAAGCAGCAATAGCAGCTTACAATTTTTTTTTTTTAAAAAAAGACTATATAATTGTGCAATACATTTCAAAATAGAATACAGTGTTGAATAACTTAGTGGTTAAAGACATGCAAAGACTGGCACATTTTAATCTAAAAGACAACAAATGACATTCACATTATAGTTGTAAGCGGGGGGAACTTTGGTGCCTATTAGAATTCAAAAGCAAAATCATACTCTTCCAGCTATTTCATGATACAAGAATATTTTCCTCCAACAGAGGCTACTTTGCAGAATAAGCAGACAAGTGTGTGCTTAACAAGGGAAAGTATCTAGGCACTGTTGTATTTTATGTGGGAAAGCTGAGGTAATGCAATACCTATGGAACTTATTTGGGTTAAGATAAGAGGAAGATTCCTTCCTCAGCAGAGTTTTATAAAAGATCGGTTGCTCAGAACTTTTATATTAAGAGTCATTGCTTCTAGAGGAAACACTTCAATTTTGCATATCTCCTGTCTTCATTTATTTTATATCCTACTTGTAATTAAATATGGAAGGCATGAATCTTTGTATGTGACAGCTCAATCCAAAGCAATTTAAACAGCATTTCTTCCTCAAAAAAAAAAAAGAAGTCTACCTTGACCCAGCCTCTTCATTTTAATATTAGTGAAGAAAATGGATCCTTTCTCTTCCTCTGCACTAAGAGTTGATGGCTGCTGTACTTCCTTATCCAAACATAGTAACATGGAATAAATTATCAAAATTCAATAGTGAATTCCAGACCAGGAAATGGATTCTGTGAAAGGGCTCTGAATGTTTTGCAATTTGCTACTGCTGCTTACATTAAAGGAAATATTAGCAGATAAAACAGTGTGCTCTTGCCACCCTAAGTACTTATTTAACGCATAGGAGAACCACTATTCATTGCCAAACTTGATGACTACTCCCATCCTGCCTGTTGCAAATATTCATTCTTCATAGCTCCACTTCTCCCAGGGATGTGTAAAAGGAAATACTGGTGCAGAGATTCAAAACAGGCCCTTGTGCCAAATGAGTAGACAGCAAAGGATTTTTTTTTTTCTGGCCATGAGCCTATTTTTAAAATCACTTCATTCCCAACTGATTTTTAATATTTGCTAATATAGAACCACTTACTGCTCATAATACTTAAAGTTAGTAGTCTGTTGCAGTCTACTAAGAGAACAAATACACTATATAATAAAGCATTTCTACTCAGGTTTATCCTTTTTGTTCTCTGGTAGCATTTAAATTTCTATTACTATTAACTTATTTCTAAGCAATCATTATGTCTCCCTCTCCTTCCTTCCATTGTGTTGTCTTTGGAATTTAACAGATAGTTCTGTACTAGGAGAAAAACAAATGTCATTAAAGTGCAAAGAAAACCAATCGTTTTTATCCAAAAACATACCCAAACTTTTTTTCCTGCAGCATCAAACACTTCAGTCTATAATATAAAATCATAGCAAGCACTCTGCATATAGCCTCATACACAGTGACTAAAAATGTGCCAGTATCGCTATACGAGTGCAGCTTCTGCTTTCTGCCATTGATGCAGAATATTTGCCATGCTATACATACAGTAGTAGGAAGAAAATGACAACAGCAGTGAATGATGAGATCAAATATGGTGCTGGTGATCATTAATGATAGACACAACATAGTTGGTATGGGGCTGTAAAAAAAAGGGTTGTGCATTAACCAGAGTGCTTAATGGCAATAGGTAACTGCCGTAAAGAAGGCTTGGGGAAAAATGGATAAATGGATATACCAGAGATGCTGCTTGTGCTATGTGTGAAGGGGAAAATACTTCTGTATTAACCTACCAACATTTTTTTTCACAGCAATTGAAGGAACTAACTCCACTGGTTTAGCATGAAAAGATTGAAATAAAATATACATTCAATTTTGTTCAGCAGAGAGCCAGTTTGGTCTAGTGCAGAGGTCTCCAATCTTGGCAACTTGTCCACAAGTCTTAAGGTTGCCAAGTTTGAGGACCCATGGTCAAATATGGTGCTGGTGATCATTAACAATAGACCCAAGATAGTTGGTATGGGGCTGTGAGAAAAGGGACCTGCCTAGAAACCAGGGGTTGTGAATTTTAATCCCACTTTAGGCATGAAAACCAGCTGGATGACTTTGGAATAGTCACTCTCAGCACACAACATTAGTCTCAGGTGACAAACCAGTCAATCAATTTCTATAATCTGAGAAAAAGTGCTTGGAAGGGGTGGGGGGAACAATTTTGCTCAGCTGACTTACGAGCCAACCCTATTCCTCCTCTTTATGCAATACTGTAACATTCAATAACTGCAAAACTATTACCTTCTTTCAGGCCTTCAACTTCAGACCCTGCTTATTTCCATCTCAGTGCAAGACAATTAATTTCCACAATTCTGCTGAGCAATCAACAACATTCCAAAGGGGCCACATTCACTACTGACACCAATGATGTGGATCCCACAAACCAACTTAAATCCATTTAGATCAGAATATATTTTGGCTTCTGGATTTTAAGAGCTTCATATTCCTTTGCAGCTGGAATCAAAAGCCCTTTCCTTCTTTCTCAAATAGCCAACTGATCCAGTCAGTCACAAACCATTTCAAAACATACATTACACTGACTTAGCTGTTGCTTCCATCTATCCTTCTTGACATTCTTCTGCAACCGTACAAGTTAAGATTTAAGCTAGTTAAAATTACTGGGAAGCAGGGAAATAATAGTGCATCCAAATGAGATGTGACTTAAGTACATATTTCAAGACTTCTAATTTTTTCTCATCTCTCGAGAATAGAAGGATCTAGAAGACAATAGGCTGGGGGGGGGGGTTCAAACTCAGGGCCCACAGGCTGGATGTGTCACATGCTGGCCCCACCCCCACCTGGTTTAGTGAAGGGGGGGAAGTCCCAATACGTCATGTGACAACACCGTGACAACACAAGTTTGACACCCGTGCAGTAGGCCATGAATCCAGGTAGTATAAAGGTTAGCTGCATTCCTTATATATGACAAATTTACAAGAAAACAGTACAGGAATTATAAGGAGTCTCTACTTAAAGTGAAAATTTAGGACTGCATTTGGTTTAAGAGCTAATTTGGTAGCTCTTGCTGGCTTTTAATGCATCATAACACAGAGAAGGATGATCCCAGAGGACTCAAGTCTTTAAGAACAAAAGCATGTTGCAATACTGATTTAAAGCAAAGTGGATTAAAACAAAAGCTAGAGTCCCGATGATGTCCCCAGTCTTCTTATTATAAACAGTTCAAGAGGTGCCCTGAATAAAATTCTTTTCAATTCCGCCCAAGCATCAACCATTTTTGTTGCAGTTGTCAAGTTATTTATACCACTGTCTCCCAGAAAATATGCAACACCCAACACCTTTTGGTGGGTATTTACCTTGTGCCAGTCACCTGCTTAGTTATGGCACAATTACCTATTTTGTTATCAGTATCCTGTCTGAATTGTGAGGGGAGGAGAAATCCCTCTGTGATTGTTAAAGAGTTCCATTAGGAAACTGCTGAATGCAACCACTGCCCACCCTCTTTTCCCCAACCAGATTCGGACAATTATATTAAAAGAGCTGAAAGGTCTCTTCCGTGCAGCTTGCTGGTGGATGTCTCATCTGCAGCCCTTCTGATGGGAAGATGGAGGCCTGCAGGTCCACATTGATGCAGAACAGCCCTAGCATCAGCTGGCGCTGGTATTCTTCCCATTTTGTCATAACGTCTGTTAGCGAGAGACTGTTCCTGAGCCATTTTGGCAATGCTTCCCCATAAGCAGTGCCCAAAGGGATAGGTAAACTCTGTGTTTTTCGGAGTTCAAGATGATAGTATAGCCTAAGAGAGAAAGAGAGGGAGAATTAAAGTTTACCATGCTATTTTGGTAAATATTATTTAACGTATTTGGGTTTCCAATGTTGACACATAAATAAAAATGGAAGTGCAATGGAGAAGGAGAAAGAAGGAGAGAAAGATACAGTACACATCCCATTGAAATTGCCCCTTTGCATCATGCAATGACTGACACACACACACACACACAAAACAGCCAGATGAGCTAAGGTTGCAGAGAGATGGAAGTGAGCAACAGAATATTTGTCCCTGAGGATCTCACTACTGACACCCTCTGGCTAGTCTGGTCCTGTTTTCTTGGCCCATTAGGAGAAATTAAAATCCATAAATCCACAAGCTTAAACAATAGCACAAAATAAAAATAAACAATACATTAAATATTAAAGCAGCAATAACTATACCACAAAAAAATAATCACAGGCACATAGGCTGAGGTTTTTAAAGCACTCAGCCTTTAGAGAAAGGGCAATTCAAGGCTTGAGTGCCATGATAGAGACCATAGAGCAGTCCTGTCAAACTCCCAGCCCATGAGCCACCATGACAACGCCATGACAACGTGAGTTTGACACCTCTGCCATAGAGATGATAGAAACACAGCTATATTCAATATTATTCTGGGGAATATGTTTGTTTTTTATTTGCTCATTATACTTACTTGGGTTCATATTCCATTCCACTCCAGCAGACTCTGGCTTTAAGAACAAGGCAAACAAACATGACCCCTTAATCATGCAAACCTGGAACAGAATCCAAAGGCACTATTTTCGAAGCATGGGCAAATCCAATTGCAAAATCTCCCAATTCAAGAATGTTACGGCATTAGTGATATAAAAACATTGTATTGTGCCTCACATTTCAGTATCATCAGAAATGCAATATAAGAAGCAACAATCCTACCTGGCTGAAAGGTGACTTCCTAGTTTTTTCTTGGCTTTTCTTATGAAATAATGACAGACTTTCCGTGTCTGTTCTTTCATCCACCTGATGTCCTCTGGAACATCTGGCAGCCATTCAAGCAACCTAAATACGGCAAGTACAATGCACAAGTATTAATTGGGGAAAAATTGTTCCAATATTGTAAACGCTCAAGTACAGTATCCCCAGGTTCAAGCACTTTACTGAATTTTTTAACTAATCATCCCAGGATTGAGCCACGGTGGCGCAATGGTTAGAGTGCAGTACTGCAGGCTACTTCTGCTGACTGCCAGCTGACTGCAGTTTGGCAGTTCGAATCTGACCAGGCACAAGGTTGACTCAGCCTTCCATCCTTCTGAGTTGGGTAAAATGAGGACCCAAATTGTTGGGGGCAATATGCTGACTTTGTAAACCACTTAGAACTGCTGTAAAGCACTGCAAAGTGGTATATAAGTCTTAAGTGTTGTTGCTATTACTATTGCCAATTTGTATCAATAGGAAGTGCATACATAAAAGTGCATGCATTTCACTGTGCTAGAAAAGACCAAAGATCTATTCTATCTAGTCCAGCATCCACAGAGATCAAGTGGATGATTCTTGGAAGAACACACCCCAATAACTGCTTTTCAAAATGATTCTAATATTAGGCAGAATATATAACTAATTAATGTCCACTGAAAACCATGGGCTGCAGGTTATATGAAGCACAAAGCTGTGATGAGCAATCCCAAAGAAATATGTTAATTCTTCAAACAGCACATGCCAACTAAAACTTGTAATCCTTTAAGCATCTAAAAACAGTGCTCACATGAGAACTGGTCCCCAGAATTGGAAAGGTCATTACACACTGTATAGAAGCTACTTCCCCATAGCATTCTCCCCGTGTAACTGCAAAGTTAGTCAGGTAACCTCAAAAACTTTGTGACCTCTCTCCAAGAACAATTTGTAGCTCTTTCCAGGTCTGTTCAGTAATTTTTTTGATCTCACCGTTAATTGTCCCATTGTCTTCCCCTTTCTTCTAAAAGTCATAAGAAACAATGAATATTATCTGTTAGATCAAGGGACTGGACACTCTTGGGGCTATCTCAATGCATGCCAGATGTCCTTTCAACGAAAAAACCAGCCTGTGATGGTTATTATTATCCTGATTTTTATAAAGTAGCAAGGATGATCCAACCCATAGACTTCTTCAGCATAATTCTGCCTTTGAAAACAAGCAGGCATTGGTTTCAGAAAGCCAAACAGTATCCTGAGACTTGCAAGCATGAAGATCACTTGCTGGCAATCATCTCAAGCATCCTCCTAATCTTCCCATTGCAAGCGTCAGTGCAACTGCCTCCCATATTGGTAGAAAACCCCACCCACCCCCATATATTAATATATCAGGATGCATAAGGCACTTAGGACGGACTATCTTAACTGACCTTTTCATCCAGAAAAGTCCTAATAACTACAACTTTTTTGGACAAGAAATAATCCAACCACAGCAAAGGATTTGGAATACCATTTCCAGCAATGGGCCATGTATTAATTGTTCTGAAGAAAAAATAAAGTCAAACACATGTCTCTGTGTGCATCAGGTTAGAGACTATCTGGATGAAACTTTAGCTGTCACAGAGGCCACTAAGCCTTTCCAGAATCCAACAATATTGTGATGTCCATGTTGCTTGGAAAAGTTGAAAAAAAAAAAAGGAGGATGACCAGAAACAAGGCGGATAAATATGATTATAAAGTCAATGAATATACACTGAGAAACCAACAAGGTCCAGCTGAAGACAGACCATTCTGAGGAAACTATCTATGTGGTTGCTAACAATTAATACAATTGATGGCATTTAATCAATCAGATAAAACATTTTGGATTATTCTAAAGGCTATAGTGTTTTATAATCAATTAAAGAGCATCGCTAAGATTTGCAAAAGCAGTGGAATAAAGAGTTGGTATATTCCATGTTAGGTCTTAAAAATATTATATATTATGATCCTTGATAACATGGTGTTACAAAATTCAACACAGATTAAAGAAGTGAATGCATTTTTAATTATGTATATAAAACTTAGAATGTATCATGAAATCAAAAATTATTATTTTTCAAGTGGGGATCAGCAAAACAAGCTATTCTTCAATGTTGGCAAGAAAGCATGACTCAAAATTTAAAATATTGGATTGCCATTATGTGTTTGCTGTCTGATTATGACTTAGTTCTCTCTGATGTAATAGAAAGATTGATCAGTATTATTCCATATGGCCAATGTTTAATGAGGTGTTTAAAAGTAGGCTGAATCATTTCCTATCTATACCATCTATGCTACTGTTCTTTTCCTTGTTTCCTTTTTATTTGTTCCCCCTCCTTTCTCTCCAATACTAAAACAATACAAAAAGATATATAGCATTAAACAAAGAAGAGAAATCATATGAAAAATAACGACTATAGTCTGCTTTGTTGCCTTACTGCATCAAAAGGCAAATCAAGACCCTTTTACAGAGATTTTGATACAAGAGCTAGATGCTCCTTTAATTGGTTGTTAATTTTTCTTTTGTAGTTGTGTTTTTGTTGTTAAATGAGAAAGCCTTGAAAGAGAAAATATTCAGATGCCAAGATATGCAAAATGATGCAAACATTTTTTTTTTTCCTGTGACATGCTATAGAAATAAAAATTGGCCAGGGCTGGGGACAAACTGTCCTAGAGAAAAAAATTGTCTATGTTGTCACTAAGAGTCAACACCGACTTGATGACAGGTAATCAAAATAAACACCCATTTTGCAGCATAAAAAATATGATTTTGCCTTGCAGTGAGATAAGCACTGCCTCACAAAGTTACACTTTAAATTGAACAGTTACACCCAAATTTAAATTTACTGGCAGGAAAGCCTTTTCTCTAAGGAATTACCTGTATAATTTCAAAATTTACAACCCAGAAGGAATAAAAACTCTCTCACCGCAAAATCTTAAAATGTGAATTCTGGTTCATTCTAACTATACCAAAGAAGATGCCACTGACAGGAATTTCATCTAAATGTATTCTACCTCTACTTTATTGGAAAGAAATGCAATTAAATACTAATTATTTTTAAGCTGACTGCTGTAAATGCATTTAACATCCAATGCAAATCCTACTAATGTTTTTTCACCACACAGTCTCAGAAGGAAATTCAGAACATACCTGACTGTAAAGGAGAGAGCAGACTCCAGAGGAAGGGTATATGGTAGCATCAAAGTAGAGGCCAAACGTACTGGTAGAAGATTGGCAATGCAAGTGAATAATCCCTTCCTCTCAGTACAGGCTTCCAAAAGTGCTGCAGATGGAGAAAGTATTTTAAATCAAAATCCCCTGCCAAGTTTTGGGGACAGAAACGGATATTTTTTTTAAAAAAAATCGACCATTTATTGCATTTAATTGTTGCACTTCCAATCCAGTTGCAAAAGATTTTATTCCTCAATGCTAAGCCTTACCTTGTCTGTTATAAACCCTCCCCAAATTTGCAAATATCCATGACTTACTGGTAAATGGTACTCCTATTACTACATCATCAGATTCTAAACAAAGGAAAAGTTAACTAAGAATCAATAGCTAGAATTTTTCTTTAACTGAATTGATGTATATTGGTGTAGTTTCCTGTTATTGTCCTTTTCGCTGGGTCCTTTTGAATCAGATATATTTTACTATCATTAAGTAGGCACTGATGATGCAATACTTCATTAAGTTGCTTAGCTTTAATTAGATGATCATTTCCAGGACATGTCCAATTTTTAATCCTTTTCACTCAATTTTAATCATTTTTGTTGTCACTAGTTCTTCCATTTGATTTTTACTAAATTCATCTTCAAATTCTTTGGTCCACCCAGCATTTTTATTTTTTGAATTTCCCAAAACTGGATTATTTCCTTTTTGTTTGGTTTTCCATTTTCAGAATTTCTACTGTCTACTTTGGTAGCCTCTGGTATGATTGAAATAACTGATTTTGCTTTAATTGGATGATTTGTGCCTCATTGTGTTCAGTTTTCTGGTGCTAAGCCAATACTTTCTCATTAGGCTTCTCTTGATCCTTACATTCTCCAATGTTTGGTCTTTTGTTTAAATTACTTGCATCTGATCTTAGTTTCTTTATCTGGGCCTCCAGTCTGATCATCCAGGGGTGGGATCCGACAGGGTTAATTACCGGTTCAGTGATTTACGAGGTTCAGTGATTTACGATGTGCTTCCCTGCACGCTGCACCGCGCACGCCTGTAAATCGTCATCAGCACGCTGTGTGTAGAGAAGCAGCCTTCAAAAAGCACTTTTTTCCTGCTTTTTAAACTGCAGCTGTGCCTCCCACAGCAGCTGAAGTTGAAAAAGCAGGAAATAAAGGTCAGGTAAGAGCCCGGGCAGGTGGGTGGGCAAAAACATCTGCAGACATAGAACCGGTTGGTTCTAAGCCTGCTGCTCTTAAGAGCTACCGGTTCTACAGAGGTGGACAGAACCGGTAGAAACCCACCCCTGGATTGAATATGATTTTGATTTGGGTTTTCTAATGACAATACATAGTTCTTTTATAACCACCACTGCTGTACTGTAGGAGAGCTGATTGGTCTGTTTGATAAATGTTATTTTAATCCTTGCAAGCGCCTCATTCACATACTTCATTATAGATACCAGGTCTTAATGCTACTCTTAATGCTAGCAGTCTTTGTCTTTCTACTAAAAATTCTGCATAGGCCATAATTTTCTCTTATACTCCTGTTAAGAGAGGCCAGTTCATTGTCTATTTTAGTGTTGACCTGTACTGGTTCTGTTGTTATTAATGAACCAAATTATCATTTCTATACTTCATACCCACTTTTTTGTTTATATTTAGAATTGCTATCTGAATTTCTTTTATTTCTACAACTGTTTTCGGTCTTCCATTTTCATAATTTTTCTGACTTTTTTCCATTCTATATCCTTAAATATTTTATTTCTAGTAATGAATCTTCTTTAATCTAATCGTTGTTCAGTGAAATTCAAGTCTGGATAATTATCATCATCAAATGTTTATCTTGCCTTCTTAAAATATACGGTAGAAAAAATATTTAATACTGCTTCCTTCTCTCCCCACAACAATCCTATGAAATGATCTGAGCTGAGAGAGTGACTGGCCCAAAGCCACCCAGCTGGCTTTCATGGCTAAAGGAGTCCTAACAGATTTAACAGATAATCAGAGTTGGAAGGGACCTTGTAGGTCATCTAGTCCAACCTCCTGCCCAAGCGGGAGACCCTACACCATTTCTGACAAATGGCAGTCCAATCTCTTCTTGAAAGTGTCAAGTGATGACACTCCCACAACTTCCGAGGGCAAGCTGTTCCATTGGTTGATAGTTCTCACTGGCAGAAAGTTTCTCCTTATTTCCAGGTTAAATCTCTCCTTGTTCAGTTTCCATCTATTATTCCTTGTCTGGCCTTCAGGTGCTTTAGAAAATAGCTTGACCCCTTACTCTCTGTGGCAGCCCCTCAAATATCGGAACACTGCTATCATGTCTCCCCTGGTCCTTCTCTTCACCAGACTAGCCAAGCCCAGTTCCTGTAACCGTTCTTCATATGCCTTAGTCTCCAGTCCCTTAATCATCCTGGTTGCTCTTCTCTGTACTTTTTCTAGAGTCTCAACATCTTTTTTATAGTATGGTGATCAAAACTGGATGCAGTACTCTAGGTGTAGTCTTACAAAGGCTTTATAGAGCGGTATTAGTACCTCACTTGATCTTGATTGTATCCCTCTGTTAATGCAACTTAGCTTTTTTGGCTGCTGCTGCACGCTGCTGGCTCATATTTAGTTGGTTGTCCACTTAGACTCCAAGATCTCTCTTACAGTTACTGCTATTGAGCTTAGTTTCACCCAGTTTATATGTGTACATTCGGTTTTTCTTGCTTAAGTGTAGGACTTTACTTTTCTCTACATTGAATTTCATTTTGTTAGATACGGCCCAGTGTTCTAGTCTGTCAAGATCAATCTGGATCTAAAACTCAGAATCTCTTTGTTTCTAGGTCAGCATCTTCACCACTATACCAAACTGGATCTCTTATGTTCACAAACATCTTGCAAGTTCACAGCTTCTTCACAGCTTCAACAGTACTCCCTTAATGAAACTGACAGTTCTTTGATTTAACAACACCAATTGGTGATCCTGAAAACTTGTATTCCAATAACCAAATGATGTAGTTAAAATCAATGAGCTGTCCATCTCCTCAACAGAGCCAGGATTTTAAATTTGGTCTGTGATTATCTTGAACCAAGATTGGGGCAGGAATTATATGAACTCCTTTGTCCTCCTCTAAGAGCAATGACTATGTCTACATGTGGGCATTTTTTTTAAAAAAAAATCCACTTACCCGGTTTCTTTAAAAAGCATACACGTTACAGCCATTCCATGCCCTCCAGATGTGTAGATTTCAACTGTCAGGATTCTCAGCAATAGCTAGCCATGCTTGCTGGTAATTCTGGGAGTTGAAGTCAATGGATTTGGAGGAGGGCCAAGTCAGGTAAAACTGACCTAGAACGTGAACAGCTCAGTTAAATTGGGGACAAAGCAATACAGCAACTTTCCCCTCCAACGAAAGATCTTACCTTGGTTCAGTTTTGGAGGCAAGTGTTCCAGGATGTGTTCTTTAGCTTCTGCCAGTTCAGCACTTTCTTGTAGCTGATTGTCCTCATCCTTTTCTTTCTCAGAGTCTGTTTCCTCAGCACCACTAATGACCAGCAGAGGGAGAGGAGGTCTTTGAAGGAGAGCTAGAGAAAAAGGATAGGTAGCAGAATCGTGAATTCACCAGAAAACATCATTAGACTGTTAGATTATCTTCTCTTCACCATTTCACCTTGGGGAACCTGGCAGTAGCAGATAGAAACAACCTTTTGCAAGAAAGCCATCTTGTTGATTATTATGTGACATAAGTAGAGGACAAGAAGCAGCCAGACAAAAATAGGTTGAACAGCCACAAACCAAAGTAGCTTTTAAAATGAATCTTGGCATTTCTGTATAAATATTCTGTGTTTTATAAGCATCGAACTGCTAGTATGTGTAGGTCCTTCTGTAAAAAAAAAAATACAGATGGAGAAGATATTCAGATGTATAATTGTCTTTGCCCGTTTGGAAGCAAAATAGATGAAACTCAATTGCTTATTATTTGTCTTTATATAAAAATCAGACCTGGACATTCAGCTGAGTATCATTCAATTAGTGACTTTTAAGCTCTATTCTAAGAGGACAGAAACCTATATATAACATAATATGACATGACATGACATCACAAGAAAACTTTGAAATTAATACAGGCAATTAGACTGAGAATATATCATTATGGTTATTTAATCGCAGCATATAATGATCAACGGCATGAGTCTCCTTGTGGATTAAAGTAGCATGATGCCTTGATTAAAAATAATTCAGTGAATCAAATGGTTGCATGAGAAATTTGCACCACTAGGTGATGCTACAGAGAAAGACAATATACTGCAGTTACAGAATTAGACAACCTAAGAGTTTTATTTATTTTATTTTATTTTATTTATTTATTTGATTTGTCAGTCGCTTCCAAGGTAATAGATATAAGTATAAACATGAGTAAGAATACAGGAAATAGGTGGTAAGAATACAGGGATGGTAGGCACGATGGTGCACTTATGTATGCCCTTTACAGACCTCTTAGGAATGCGGTGAGGTCAATAGTGGATAGTTTGAGGTTAAAGGAGTGGGGGTTAGAGGATGTAACAACAGAGTCTGGTAGTGCATTCCAGGCATTGACCGCTCTGTTGCTGAAGTCGTACTTTCTGCAATCAAGTTTGAAGTGGTTTACATTGAGTTTGTATCTGTTGTGTGCTCTTGTATTGTTGCGGTTGAAACTGAAGTAGTCATTGACTGGTAGGACATTGTAGCAGATAATTTTGTGTGCTACACTTAAGTCTAACCATAGGTGGCATAGTTCAAGGTTGTCCAAGCCCAAAATCTCAAGCCTGGTGATATAGGGTATTCTATTGCGAGCAGAGGAGTGTAGTACTCTTCTCGTGAAATACTTCTGGACTCGCTTGATTGTATTAATGTCTGATATGCATATTCTACATATTCTAGAGAATAACATGACTTTCAGTTAGAGGAGATGCTCCTTCAGTACTACATAGGCACCTGGAATCAGATAGCATCTCTGCTGGGAGAGCGCATTACGTGGCAGCTAAACAAGAGAAAATGTTTTCTTTGTTGGGTCTGAAATTCTTCCTCCATAGCAAAAATATGGAAAATACAGTGTCCTTCAGTACTGGCATGTCGCTAGGGTTTCTGAGATCAGCAAAATCCAGGGGATTACATTATGGCCTCTGGCCAGCCTATTATTTGAATTGTATATAAATTGTATTGTTACTGTTTTTATCAGTGTAATTAATTTTGGTCATACTACCCCATTTCTTTAAGAATGGTTTAAAAATAAGTTTGGATGAACCATACAGCAAAAGGTCACCATACTTTTCCACAACTTCCATTCATTGCAAGGAAATTTGTGTACAATTCGCTGACCTACAGTAACATTTTCTACTGTATCTTTATGCACAAATATAAAATTTGCAGATGCTTGCCATTCAAAAAGAAAGTTTTCATTTAAAAATAAATCTCGATTTGTGCAAGAGCATATAAAACATTGAGTCAATTTTTTTAAAATAATATAGAATAGAAAAAGAACAATTAAGTTCAATTAAGCAATAAGCAATAATATCAGTTTTGGAAATTCACTCCTTCCTTTTGGCTTAGTGGGGAAGTTTTTATTTTTGAAATTTGACCACTAACATATATAATCCATGCAGGTATCCAAATAATGTTGTCCTCATTAAAAGGGACTGCAAGAGTTGTACATTTTCTACACAGCAAGAAGGGACTAGACAGGATGATATACACTATGTCAACTAAAACAATACTCCTTTGGTCATTTTAGCTGCCAGAAAAAGGGAGTGGGGGAAAATAGTGCATTCCTTAAGTGCCTAGATAATCACCCTGGCAGCCCAAAGTTGTCGGAGTGCAAGAAAATTATTGGAGAGAATGATTGACGCCTCTTGGGGATGGATGTGTCCCATTGGAGAATACACATCCAGGGTGTGTGGGGAAGATCAGGGTCAAGGGGGAAATGATGTATTTTAGTATCAGCTGTACCCAGCTAACACCAACATGTCCATTTCCAATAAATCAATTTTCTTTTCTCTAAGATGTGCCTAGAGACTTATGATTTGAATGGGGGTGGATTTGTTAGAGTCCTGACACACTACAGTCATGAGTGGAATGCAAGGCAGGCTCTCCTTTTTAATATTCTATTAGAAGTAAGTGAACAGAACACCTGACACGAGATTCACTTTTGCTAGAGAATGCAAAACTATTAATAACTTACAATTCTTCTTCAAAAAGTGAAGAGCGTCATTGTATCCCTGCTTGCACATTTCTTGGAGAACCTGCAGAGAGATAAAGCAGCATGTAGCCACTTACAATTAGTTGTAAGACATCTCAACACCGCACTACCATCATGCCAACAGACTTCAGCAGAGGGAAGAATCCATATCTCCAAGTGTACTTCCAGCTAATGTAGTCCCTGGCAGAAAGAAGGATCTCCGATGGAGACCTCTGCATTAGGCATGACAAGCAGACGTGGCCAATGGTCTCTGTAGACTGGGTTGGATCGGATAGTAACACAGTAAAATTAACACATCTCCAGTTGTATTGGTAATTAAGGAATTTATACAAAGACAGAAATGCTATTAAATAGCATTAAGTGAAAGAGTATTTCATTTTGCAAAGTGGTCTTAATCCATATTCTCTGACAAGTTGGGAAAAAGTAAAAGGCACGATTAACTGACAAGAGTCTTGACAAGAGTGGCGTAGCTACAGGAAAGCCAAATAAACACCTCACGTCTGATCCTGAGATGGGACTGTGTGTGAAAAGGGAGAATTGGTGAAAGTCATCTTTCTCCATGGGGAAGAAAGAAACTCAAACTTTCTGCCAATTCTGCAAAAAAAATCTTTTTTCCCATTTTTCTGCCATTGGAAGGAAACAACTGCCCTCCAGCTTCGGTGTTTCCAAACTACTGAAGGCTTACTGTCCCTTGACTTTTCAGCATGAGCCAGCTCAACAAGTTGTCTTTAGCACTTTCTAAAGCATGGGTCATGTTGCCATCACATGTTGTATCGCAACGTTTCCCCACTTCATGGAGCTGGGGTGGGCGTGGCCTACACGTGACACATCTGGCACGTGGAATGCCAGTTTAACACCCCTGTTCTAAAGAAAAAGCTGAACTCTGGAATTCTTTTCAATCTCTCTGCTAGCATTACAGGAAGAATCTATATTTTCTTTGGTATCAAAGTCATGTGTTGCGTCTGCTTTCTCAACATGTTAATTCTGTTTGTGACCTGTGTGCATTGGCAAGTACAGGTGTTCCTTGTTCTACTAAAGACCGGGGGGGTGGGGTGTCTTACCTCCAATAGAGGATTATGCGGTTATAAAAATGCAGGAAAATTGTGCTGGAAATGCATGAGAGGGATTGGCAGTGGATTATAGCTACTTCCTAAATCAGGAATGTCCTAAAGTACTACGGACTATGAAAGATAGAAAATCAACAAAAACAATGATAGCAATACTGAATCAATCTGACATATAGGATGAAGGCCTCTTTACTGAAGATTATTAACCATAATTTTCTTTGCTGGTCCAGTGCAGTTTAGTACTTGAAAATAGTACTTTGTTGTTGTTGTTTAACTTTCCAGTCTAGGTTGAGAGTGACTGGCCTAAAGTCACCCAGTTGGCTTCACTGCCTAAGTGAAGCTTAGAACCTGAATTTCCCACTCTTGGTTCAGAATCTTAACTGGCTCTCAGTTTATTTAAATTTAAAAAAAAAATCAAAGTGTGACATCATAGTGGGGAGGGCTCACCTGGGGCTCTGGAGGAAACAGGGCTTTTGAAAGCCGGTACAAGTTGCGGAGATTAAACTGAATGCTGGTATTGGTGATTCTGAGTTCATGAATGTTTGTGGAACTATCCCGTGGACAAATATCACTCTCCCCAGAGAAAGGGGATATAGTGATGGTGTTCTTCAACTCATATCGAGGCAGGTTGTCAGAAATCCCTCCATCAACGTATCTCTAGGAAGAAAAGAAAATACGACATTAGCTTTTTTCACTACCCTCCTCTGTCTTTTTTATAGTCCCAAGTCTGTTCTTCCTCTCTCAGATTTCTAAATAGCAATAGCACTTAGACTTATATACCGCTTTATAGTGCTTTTACAGCCCTGTCTAAGCAATTTACAGAGTCAGCCTATTGCCCCCAATAATCTGGCTCCTCATTTTACTCACCTCAGAAGGATGGAAGGCTGAGTTAACCTTGAGCCTGGTAGGATTTGAACTGCCAAATTGTAGGCAGCTGGCTGCAGAAGTAGCTTGCAATACTTCTCTCTAACCACTGCGCCACAGAGGCTCATGTACATAGATAGTCACAAATGCAATGGTGTGTATAGTTATTTGGTTTTATATATATAGTTCGGCTTACTAGAGCATCAAGAGAAATAGCCTCTGGGAGGAGGGAAGGTTGAGCAAACGATAAAACATTAATTGCAATGTCATGACACAAACATCTGCTCTTGCACTGCAAGGTACGTCGCAAAAGGCCTATCTTGCATCATCATGTCACAACGCATAATTCATCATTTGGGTCATTATGATAAGGAATGTACAATTATGGAATCAAGAAATCAAGGGAATGAGGGCTTTTTACTCCCCAATAAATCACTAGATATTTCTGCAATTTTAGTGGGTGAGATCTTTGCTAATCCTGTTTTATCTAACAGGGTGTAGGATTGGGTAGCTTCTCTACTCTCAAATGAATAATAACACGAGGAAGAAGTGATGAAAGAATTTTTTCTGAAATAAAGAGTATGTCTAGCAACTTTATGTAACAAAAGCAATAAATAAATAAATCCTTTTTTTTTTAATCCATGGCCTTTCACTTATATTCCAGGAAATAACAAAAAGTTCATGTTGATCTCTTCTACAGGTTCCAGGCCACAAAAATGAAGTTAGACAAAGAAATATAGTAGTCTATATGCTTTTTCTATCTTGTGCAGATGCTGCACACCCTTGTGTTTTCCTTCCCACAAATACAGAGATAGGATACTTTTACACTGTGCATCAGCTTCAGATTCCTGTGTACCCTTCTACTGGCCTCAGCCTTTTCCTCCATTGGGACAGTAGAGACTGAAATTGGGGGGGAAAGTAGCCAAGCAACCATGGTTTGATGTTGTGCCACACTGTAGTTATTCTTAATTGTAGATAAAACCAAAGTGGGCAAGATTAATCTCTCAGCTACGATGTGTTTAAACAGAAGCATAGCCTTCCAAGTTCCTCTTCCTCTTTCAACAATGGATGATCAGACAGAGAAGCAGCATACATATCTGTGACTCAAAGCCATTCATTTTTCTATAATGAGACACCATTTGATTTATCACTGAATGAATTGCACTAGGTTCTGACAGCATAATTCTTTCAGCTCTTCAAACATTTAGTTCTGTCTTGTTTGGGTGGATGGTTATTGGGCTGTTCCCTATTCCGTTGGCCTTTAACAAAAGAGTTTAATGCCATCAGGGGTTGCACTAATGCGTTACAGAATACAGTCACATGCAATACAGATAATTGCTGGCTTCATCTCTTATAGAAAAACTGATGCCCAGAATATGACCACATGAAAAACAAAATAATGCCCATCTTGGAGAGAAATAATTTACATGGAAAAACTAGGTCTGTAGTAATCATAATCCCAATATCCAAATGCAAGAAAAATCACCCTATTTTCTGTGTTGAGATTATTTATTGATGCTCTACCGGTAGCTTCAAAAGCAAGTCAGCTTCTCCATTCACCTTCTTGCAGCTCAGGAAGTGGTAACGTTAATTGAATAATAGAGATCCCGTTTGGAATTCTAAAGTTTCAGAATTAACACTATGGCTTAAACCAGGGGTAGTCAACCTTTTTATACCTAGTGCCCACTTTTGTATCTCTGTTAGTAGTAAAATTTTCTCTAACTGCCCACCGGTTCCACAGTAATGGTGATTTATAAAGTAAGGGACAAAACCCCTACCGCCCACCATGAAAGCTGGAACGCCCACTAGTGGGCAGTAGGGACCAGGTTGACTACCACTGGCTTAAACGTAAAGAGCCACCAATGAGCTAAAGTTGCCAAAATGGCTGTGATCCCTTTAATTTCAAATATCCAAAGTGACCACTGGAATCCAGTAACCAATGACATCAAAATGTTTGCCAGTCAGTGATCAAGAGAGTGTTTCTCCAGAGGACCAAAATATAACATGCTGTACTTAAGGGGCTTTGGAAGGAACAGAACATGTCCAGAAGATACTCAGTAAGAACTTTTCCCCACTGTTGAGTTAAAATATTATCCATCCATTCTCGAGTTGGCAGCAGCTTATACATACCAATCTGTATCCTTCCTCTACTGTCCCTGTTCTGACCCACTGCTAAAGAAATGGTTCTGTTCAGATTTTGAATGTTCTGGGTGTGATAGGCAAAGCAACTGGTTGAGTCTTCTGGATTCACCGGTTACCCTCTTCAATACATCACCAGCTTAGGGGAAGATCATCTGCCAATCATGGTGGTGCAGCAGAGAAGGGATGTGTTTTGGAAATAATGTTTTGTTGTCATATCCCGAGGCTCCTTTTTATGCTTCTCCTCCTGCCCTTCATTCTGTAGTAATTCAAGTTGAATTTTTTTTTAATGGAACCACAAAAAGATATGACTAAGCAGAGTTTTTATGTAGAGTCTGCCTCCTGTGCTTTCCCTTATTATTATTAATTTTACTGGCAGAGAATTGTACAGGGTGGATAGATGGGTGAGGTTTTCCATTATTTCACTGTTAGGAAGTTTAAGAGTTAGCAGCTTACTATGTTGCTAAGTGGCTAATGCTACTGAGACTGAAGAAGAAAAGGTTTGCCTGCATCAAATCTAGAACAGCCTATAAATACACCTCTGATCCCAACTAAGAACAAAACACTCTCTCCCTAACCTCGAATCCTTCTAGAAGTGAAAAAAAAAACATGGTCATTTTTTAACACATGTGTGTCACTCCTACTCACAATTATCTAGAGCCAAACTGAATCTCAAGTGTATCAAGTAATACAAATACTAAAAACAGAAGAAAGTTCAAAGTGGAGTGGAAGTCAACTGGCAAGAGGAAGGAGAAGCACAACATGTTCTCCAGCAACTAGCATGTTCCTATAACGTTCTGCAAAGCCAGTTCCAGGAAACTCAGTACACTACTGTATGTTAGCTACTAGCTGGACAATTAAGGTTGGAACATCCACTACACAAACCTTTTGCACCAATATTTTTCCACTAACAATGAGATCAGTTTCCTTTGTCCCCTTTCAAAATGTCTACATTTACACTTTAATCAAAGAAATCTTTTGGCAGCAGCAGCAGCACCTTGCAATCTTCCCTACTAGCTTACCCATTAAATTTCTGTGGAGCCCAACAGAGAGGATTCCAAACCATGATCATATGATTACAGGGCACTTGGCAAGCAGTTGTAATTACAAATAGATTGCCAAACACCCAGGTCACTATCACATGATCATGAGGGGAAGCAGTGGAGCCCTTTCCAAATCATCAAACGTCAAACGATTATTAAGCGATCAGTCATTAAATAAAGACTTCCTGTATGAATCTGTCTTTGGTTCCTGTTTAGACTATACCACTTTCTAGTCAAGACCCAGTGAATTGCAGCTTCAAAGCAATTCAAACATCTTTAAAATGGTGCCTCTCCTAGGATTCCAATGCAAAGATGTGCTGTCTACCTTCATCTCTTCCCTCCGGCATTAACTCAAGGTTTCCTGCAGTATTCGCCCTTCCCTATTGCCATAGAAGCTAACTTGGAGATTTCAGAACAGTCATAATCTCTGAACTATTTCATTGGGCTTTTACTGAGAGGAAATAAAATATTGCTGCATAAATTTTCTTGAGCTCCTGGGAAAAAGGCAAGATCATAAGTTAGTCAAATAAAATATAAGATTTCTTTGTTTGTATGCCTGTATGAATTAGAACAGAATAACTAAGAGGCGGAACTATTTCACTTCTGCCTTAACTAGCTAGCTTTTCTCCCATGAAGTTCTTAGTATAGCTGTGTAGGCTTAGACAGTCAGATGTTTTCAACCTTCAGCTGTCCATTTTTAATGTGAGAATAATAAAGCTGATCATCCTTGGAATGGCCATGGCTTGCTTAGTATCTGTGCTTTACCAACAGCGTTGACACTAGAACAATGGCTATGCAGCCAACAGTGAAAAAGCATGAGAATCCTAACACCCTCAAAGAATCTTCTCAAGCAGAAGGACTGGAAATGGAAATGGCTCATTGCTGTCAAAGAAACAGCCCAGGTTTCTGACTTCCAATGAAAGATGGCCAAATGACGATACACCCAGGGAAGGCTCCCTGAAGGGGTTTTTTTCTGAACTGTTGCTTTTTCAAGTGACATTCCTTTAGTTTATCTGACTCTCCTGGGTTAGGGAGAGTCCTAGAATCACCCCATAAGATCCTCCATATAGCATCGGTCTGCAAGAAGCTTCGGAGCTGGGCTTTAGAGAATCTGGTGAGTGATTTAGCTGGGGGGGGGGGGTGGCATGGCTACAATCACTTTATTGTTAAAGCAAACATTTTGGAATTTATTTTTCAAATAGACAGTAAGTTGTTCCTTTCATTTCTTAATCACTTTTTAGGATTATTTATTTACTTAAAAGAGGCTTGCTTATTGTTAAACAAAAAAAAAGGGGGATTGCTGAAGGCAAGCTAAAATAAGGAAAGCGTGGAGTACCTTTTTTAACACTTTGATGGAAAAACATAAGGATAGAAAGTTGTTGTTTTATTTTACTATTTTTAAGTAATTTGTAGCTTGGTTTGCTTTGCTGTGGTGGTTAAAACTTTCTGGTTTTTATAAACTCTGATTGGCCAGAAATTCTTAAATGTCCACAAAAAATTTACTCTTTGACCATAATGAGGAATTAACAAGATGGAACAAGATGGAAATTCTTAAATAAAACTCTATAGATCAATTATTAGATCAATTATTTCTAAGGATGTTATTAAAAA